TATAAAGCCCAACTAAATTATCTACTCTGTTCTCTGCTAGAGAAGAATTATTTCTTACTATGTATTATTTACCCTGTCTTCCAACAACATAGTGCAGTGAAGCTCCCTTCTCCTCAAGTTCATTTAATAAATAATTAGTTTTCTAGCTCTGTAGTTCCTATTTTGCTTCTCGTTGCAATTAGATTGTCTAAGTTCATAGTATAATTGAGGAAAGGTGGAAGATTGGCAGTTTCAGTCTCTTTCTGTTCCAGGGATTGCTAATATTTCCCATCTGGTTTTGTTGTTTCTGGTTTGTGTATCCACCAGATATTGTGAACGGAGATGTGAAGACTACAATGAAGATTCTGTACTGCTTGTACTCCAAATACAAGACCAAAGAAGCATAAAGAACAAGGCCAAGAGCCTGAGCTTTTTTTTTTTTCTCCCCAGCATGTCATTTGAGCTTTTTTTTTTTTTTCTCCCCAGCATGTCATGGTGTGATTTTTGGATTGCCATCTCTGTTTGCCACTGTTTCTGTGCATGCACTTGTGTTTGACACTTGCTGTATATGCAAGTATGTTATTCATGCAAGGTTTCACAAATACAGCCTGAGTAACTGTAAATATGTGTCCACAGCCAGTGTACTGTGTAATTCTGTGGCTGTTGCTCTTGTTCCAGACCCTCTTTTGTTTTCTCTGAGCTCCACTCACGCTGCAAAAAAGTGCAATGTGTGTTTATTCTAGACTCTGCGTTCTTTGTTCCTGAAGGTGAATTTGGAAGTTTTTATTGCAACCTTCCTACTTTTCCTGCTTCAGAGTCACTCTGGAAACTGGAAAGATGAAAGACTCACCACAGCACCTCTGGGAAGTTTTGAGACACACTTGAAGCTCCAGCTGAAAACCTTCTTTAGATAGATGGTCAGCAGTTGTCAGAGCAGGTGATATGGACTGGAGACCAAATGAATAGGTAGCAGAAATGAAATCTGAGCTTACTGAGTGTTTGATAAATGTTTCACTGTTCATCTGCTTGAATCTGACAAAGGAACTCAGAACAACATGCTGGCATGAGACTGTGCAGTAACACAGGGGTCTCCTGAACAGCTGTAGAAAGATGTCCTTATTTCCTTGCTAAGCCAATGCCAAATTGTGGCCACCTCCAGCCTGCTGCAGTCCTAACGTAGTCTCTGACTAGCAGGAGTACCAATTCCTGTGCCAGGTGTGTCGTAAGAGAGACCCACATGTCCACACTTCCTCTCACTGGAGAGGTGGATGGATGCTGATTGCCTCTGCAGCTGGCAGAGGTAGATGCTGTCATGGTTGGGACTAGTGAAACGCTCAGCTTGCGCAGCATCTGACAGACGAGTTGTGCTGCAGAGGCTCTCAGGCTCGTAGTGAAACTCTCAGCTTGCGCAGCATCTGACAGATGAGTTGTGCTGCAGAGGCTCTCAGGCTCCTCTGAGACTCTCCTAGCTGAATTTGCCCAGCCACCATCCCCAAGCATACTGGCAGCTCCTCTCCATGTAGCAAGGCTAGCCACAATTTATGCTAGCTGTCGCACTCAGTCTTCCTTGGGGCGTTTAAATCAGAACTCCTTCAAAACCACCATATAGTGCCTTGACCTTAAAATTATGTCATGTTGCATAAAACTAGAGATCTAATGAAAAAAAGAGGAAAGTTTTGGTGTTATTTTGGCTTCCATCTAAACTGATTTAATTTCCTGCCGTCAGTGACTCTGACATTTGATCTCTGGTCTGATCCTCCATCTGTGTGTTAAGGGGAAACCAGAGCTCACTTAGAACGAGCGCTGACATTTACAGAGGAGAATTTGTTGTGTCTACCTCTGGATCACACTGCCCAAGGAAGATCCTTAGATAGCAATGCTGATAAGTCTTCTAGTCCTGCCTTTGAAAATGGTAATACTGCACAGCTGCTGAGGGACACAGATCTGCAAACTGCTCTGAGCCCAATTCTTTCTACACTAAGGATTAGCTTGTTATGCTTTTACAGAGAAAAAATGCAACATGTGGTGCCAATGAGCTGCAAGAAGATCTCCAGCATCTCCACAAATGTTAGTTATGTGTGCTGTTCTGAACAGTTTCAGTAAAGAATACTTGTTTTTTAATTTGCAAGTCTCCTTGCTTTACTCCTTAATGGGCTTCAGTCAATTGGGGGATCTTAGAAGTTTGTTCTTGCTTCACAGAACTTTACTTTGCTGTAACATGACAAGCAGGTTGTAGAATAAATTGTTATTGAATAAATAAAACTGGCATGTGGCTTGTGGAGAGCAGGGGTGAGGGGGCAGGACAGTGCTGGGCAGTGATTTGGTAGCAGTGTGGCCTTTTCCTCCTAGGAAGCCAACTTGAACCTCTTCCCCTGTGCTGCTGATCAGAAGTAATTTCCAGTGTATAACTTTAGGGATATGAACAGGCTGTGAAAAAGCCAGTGGTGGGAGGATTAGGTGGTGCTGCCCTGGTTAGATGGTTATTACTGCTCAAGGAAACTGTTGGATTTTTCTCTGTATGTTCACAGTTTTGTGGTCCACTCCTCTGGCATAAATAAATCCAGTATTTCTGCAGATTTCTGGCAGGGGAAGTCTAGATCTTGATATTTAATAAAAGAGGGTCATTTTCTCTTCCCAGCACCAGCTTGCCTAAACCTGTTATAAACAAGACATTCTGTTGAAAACATACAGGGAGGAAAAAAGACAGTAAATGTGTTTGAATCAAAAACATAGCGAGATCAAAAATTAATGTTTTAATCTGCTTTTTATGCGGAGAGCCAATTTGTAACACACTTGATGCCTCTGAGCACTTGTGTAAAGAGTCTGTGTTTGATTCCTAAAACATGCTATGGAATTTTACTAATCCATCATACAGACACCCACTCCATAAATTGTTGTAAAGTATACAAGTGCACTATTTACATTTGAGATGTAGTCAAGTCTTGGCATAGCTTTAAAAACAAAGTGACAGAGCTATAAAGAGTATTCCAACACCTGTGGAAGGTGTCCCTGCCCACAGTCAGGGAGTTGGAACTAGATGATCTTTAAGGTCCCTTCCAACCCAAATCATCCTATGATTCTATGAAGATGGAGAAAAAAAGATCTACATATATAAATATTTAGATATATGAGTGTTCTCAGATGTTACTTTTTGCCTTACATCAAGATAACCTGTTTCCCTTTTCTCTTTGGAAGCAAATGAAAAGCAAAACTTCTTACTGTAATTACATAATTGAATTTACAACTTTCATGTTTGAATCTTAGTAAGGTTTTTGTGATGGAAAAGTGTGGTGGAGTGTTAAGCTATTGGGGTTTTTTGTTGTGCTCCATAGCTTGGCATGCAAGTTTAACAGCAATGACTGTTCAGTTTTCAATGGAGTCATTGACTGACTGTGTCACAATCCATTTCCAAGGAAGAATATTCAGTCTCTTTAACTTTTAAATAACTGGTAGATGATCCATGAACTTCTGAGCCAGAGGAAAGTCCTACAGGAGCTTCTGTCGCTATCCTTGTCTCACAGGTGATGCAGTGGCTTTGCAGTGAGGCAGCAGCCAGGATGTGGAGTAGATCTGAAGTGTTCCCAGCTCCTCCTTGCTGTCATCTTTCTGTTGTCCTGTCTTTCCAAAATACATGTGCTCATGCAGAAAAAGACATCTTTCCAGAGGTGGAGTGGCAGAGGTCTGTGGAGAGGTGCGGGTAGAAGGGGCAGAGTTACCATGATGACTTTAAGGGAATGCATATGCACAAAAGTTTTCATTAATGGGATCAAGTGACTGAGACAGGTAGTGCCTGTAAAGCCTGAGGAAGGGGAGATCTGTCCCTGCTGTAAAAATGCCTTCTCCTCCTCAGGAGCTACTAATTTAAGAATTGTACTGCCATTATTTTTCAACCTCTCCAGTGGCTGCAGCCCTGTAGCTGGGGCTTTGCTGATGTGCCTCTCTGGGAATAGGGCAGGTTAACTGCAGATGGAAAATGCTGGCAGCCTCCACCTGCTGGATGGGTGGGAGTGCTCATTCCAAGTTTGTATCCTTTTCTTCCTTTCTTCTCATTTTTTCCTCTTCTCTTATTCTTTTCCTATGATTTCTATTGTGTTGCTTCTTGCAGGGAGACATCCCTGCAGTGACTTCTAAAAGTCTCTTTGGCAATTAGGCTTTCAAAACATGAAAGCAGCTAATTCAAATTCTTCCTTTTCATGAGCTCAAAGGACGTTCATGTGCTTGTGTCTGTATGAAGGGATCCTGCTGTTCTTTCTCTTACAGGCTGCTAAAATTTCCCCAAAGAATAAAAGTCATTGTCAGTTTTTACACAAGTGAATTTTTTTCCCAGTCAATTAATGTTTTACTAAAGGATAGATGAAAGTGTTACTTTGGAGGAAACAAATTAGTGTATATGAACCCTTCTGCTTGCAGTGGAGATGGATGAGTCTCCTGTGCTGTTCAAAATATTCTAGGATGGTCATAAGGTGAGTAGGATGCAAAGAGTAAGATATGGAGTGATGAGTTTTGAGACCAGTGATAATGAAATCAAGAGGGCAGTACTGTAGACTAGAACATCTCTGTTGTCTCATCTTCTCTATCAGCCAGTTGTACTTTCTAGAACTTAAAAATGAGAAAAAAATCTCTATTTTTTTTGCATTTTGATTTGAACAAAGTGTATCAGGGTACCTTTGCCATTGACTTTTCCCCTTAGCACGCCCAGATTTCTTTTCCCCTCATGTTATTTGCATTACAACCAGAGTCCCCTGAGGCCTTTCTGCTCCTGCCACTGGCTAAAATTAAAGTTTCCAAGGATTTTTTTCCACTGACCCCCTTTCTTAGGCTATATGCAACAAATTTCACACTCCTCAGCAAGAAGCCAATGATATGGAATAACAGGAAAATATCAGAGAAGAAGGGAGAAGCTTGGTCAAAAACTGATTATTTTTTTTCTGTAGAACAGTTACTGGATGCTTGGATGGAAACTATCTAAAATTGAGTCCTAAAACCACACTGTTATGAAATGCTAGGGAATTGCAGTTAGGGTGCTTCATGCTATCTCCTACACCTGTATTCCAGGTGCCTATTGGGCTTTATGTCCCATAGAGTTGCAATCTGCACTGAGCTCATCCTCAGGCTGCAGGGAGTCCATGCTCCATAGCAGTAGTGCTTTCTTTTCCTTTGGGAAATGGAGCCCAACTGCAGAGCTGTGCCCATATTGGTAAATGGTCATATATGACCTGAAATGCCAACAGTGTAATGAGAATATGGGGGGTTTTCCATTTTTTGTTTTCTGGGTTTTTTTTCCCCAGTGGAAATTCCAGCAGGTGATGGGGTCCAGTTTGTCCCTGGGGTTGGATGTTTTTCAGGACCACCTGTCACATTAATCTAGTTGCCAGCCCCAGGCCAGAGAACATAATGAATATTTCAA